ACCACATTGGAATTTTAATTGCAGCCCACGCAATTTCTAGTAGAGCTTAACAGAGACTGCTTTGAAGAATTCTGGCATTGGTGTAAAGTTGTATGTTCCATTTTGTTCCTCAATTAGTGGAATCACATACTCTTACTTACTGAACTGATTTGACCTAATCTTAATGAAGGTCACATTAATTTTGTTCGATCAATCAAGGATTGTAGGTTTGATGTTGGCCAATTTCAACCTTTAGAAAGTGGGAATAATTAAGACATTAACTCATTTTCTTCTTATTGTCACAAAAATTTTAAGCAAGAGAGATTTCAAATGACTTATTTTGCTACATACAAATACCTATGAAACCACTAATGAATTTCTGTAACCCCAAACTGTGTTACATGGACATAAAGAAATGTTCAATGGTTATAGTGGTCAAGGCACTAGTACCTACCTTTCCTAGTCTTCAAGCATGCCACTTTAACTGAAAGAAACCAATATTTCAAATAAACATAATAGCACATTGGCCAAGACTTTGGTATGTGAAAAAAAAAATAGCAAAGGGATTATTTTTCATTTTTGGGGGGATGGGACAAACTAGTTGTCTACAAGAAGGTAATAAGATCGTTAAAAAAAAATCAGCCTGGGGTGTATTTTTTTTTAGAACCTTGTTTGGTTCTCGTGTTTTTTTTTTTAATTTTCACTGTGCGTGTGCATTATTGTTGGTTTTGTTCTAGTACTTTGTGCGGTCCTCAACGCATAGTTTCAATGGCATAGTAATGTAATAACCTCAACAGGCTTAAAAAGCACCAAATACTCACCAGACTGACTTTTTTAAAAATCTACTTGGCTTGCTGTAGATCACTAGCTTGTCTCATCCCCTAAAAAGTTAATTAAAATGCAAGAGGAGGTATTTTTGTTTTAGGAAAATTACAAAGATTATTTGAGTAATGCTAAGATATGAGTTCTTTATGTACCAGAATATATACATTCTTCTATGGTTATTTTTAAACTTGTATGTCATCCACTTTTTAAGTTTCATTGAAATTAAAAACCATGAAATAGGTTTGTACTCAATACAAAATTAAAATTATTGACTGCAACCAGATACATGTATACAAAAAATGTGCACTGATAAAAAACGACTTCCACTACTTTAAAATTCTTTATATCACATTTATTTTAATGGAAAACAAGTCTCTGTAACTGCTCTCTTCATTCTTTTTTCTTTGACTGTGTGACCTATAAAAAAAGGGAAGCTTTAAATCATACTGGAGAACATGTAAGGGGTGGATGTTTTCATTTTTCATTGATCAACAATCCAGTCTTTCACCCAATGGCTTTCTTAAAATTGGTTTCAATTATTTTTATATGCTCTGTGGGGATAAAAACTTCAACTGATAACCGAGCTAGGAAATACGCTGAATGTAACTAGACAAGTCTCGTTTTGTTTTGTTTTGTTTTCTTTCAGAATGAGTTAGTCACAATTATTGGAATGTAGAAGGAGTATATGATAATTACAAGGGGGGGGGGGGTAGTAATTCATAAGCCCATGATTTACAGGATGATCCAATTGGAGACCAAAATTTGGCTTCTTGCAAAGATTTGAACCTTCCTGCCAAATAGTCCTAGCTGCTGCATTTAACTCTGCATTTCAGAAAAAACAAATCTGGTGTGCACATTCCGTGAATCCTTTAAACATAGAGACCTCAGTCAAGCATGCTGTTCCTGGGACTTAAGAGAGAAACAGAGTATAGGGCTTGAAAATGAAAACAAAGTTAAGTTTTGTGAATCGAAACTTTGACTTAGACATACATCGCCTTGGATACACCCTATCCATTCTTAAGAGAATGGCATTAATTTTTATACCACAATTGGCGGTAATGTCGCGGTCTGTTCGGCCAATTTGCCGTTGTCGATACACTGTCGCATCAATGTGTCAAGCAACGTGTCACGTACTGTAAGAATTATTTTGTTTTACGTCGATATTGTAGTAAAAAAGACAAATCGATAGTGGCTTACCATGATGCTGGTTGTCCATTATAGTACAGACCGCGCTAAGCCAATGTCTGTTTGATAATCTCAGAGAGAAAAGGGAATTATTAAATCTATTTCCGGAATTTTGGTCTTAATTATTAACAAACGTCTCGACTGAAACCATCAGTCTTCATCAGTGTAGTTTGTCACGTAGTAGATCACTATCACGTGACAGACATCTATATTTATACAGGATAGCCTTTTCAGTGTAATAAACACTGGTATCAACGGGAGTCCTGTTAACCACCCATCCCACCCCAGGGGAGGACATCCATCATACAGTAATCTCGTGTGTGGGAAATTAACGTCTCCTGCCCCTAACCCTGCAGGAGACGGGACCTTCATTTATTCGTCCCTATCCGAGAAGACTAGAATATCTAACCATTTCTTGATGTTATAGAAAGGTAGCATATTCTTCTCAATTATTTTAAGACCCTGACTGTTGGTCCGGTCGGGACTCGAACCCTCGACCTCCCGCACAATAGTCCAGCGCTCTATCCATTGAGCTA